TATATTGCTAGTTTTTTGTTTCCTTTAGTAGATTGTATACATGTTTATGACAGTCTTCCGTAATTTCAACAGTGTTCTGCCGATATGAGTACGAAATCGCGGATGCGTCTTAAGTGCGCGGAAACCGGTAACCCGAGGATAATATGGTGGAGGTCATTTTACGGCGTTGTTCAAGGGATTGCTAGATTTTAAAGATAATCATAAAATGTTAAAATATTGCGAAATTCAAGCCGTGATCCATTTTGGGTACTGACAAAAAAAATCAAAAAAATCGGAAACGCTAATTGGTTCTATAAATATCTCACGCGGGCCCTGTTGTGTAGAACACTCATTGATATTCTTCTTTTGATACAACCATTAACTAATATAATCCACCCGCTGAATTTTCGATGACTGAAGAAAATGATTGTTTGGTGATCCATTTTGGGGGCTGTCACCTTATATATCAGAGTTTAAAATAAAAATAAGTCAAAAATTAAAGCTGCATCGTAACTTTTACCCTGAAAAATACCGAGCTATTGCAATATACAAATTGATTGCTCGATTCTCTGATTGCAAAGTCATAAGTTTACATAAAAACATAACTAATACTCTGTTACTTTTTCCGAATGATCATCCAGTTAAAGTAATAGGCTCTAGAGACAATAAGATTATATAAGGAAGTGTACACGAGAATGCATTTTCTGACGTCCGTTTTTTTAAATTATGGTTTAGATGCATCTTTTATAGTATATAAAATAATATAAGACTACGATATTTATCAAATAATAATAAAAAACTGAAAGAAAAGCAAAGATGAAGAAATAAATAAAAAGGGGGGGAAAAGGCAAAAAGTATGCATAGCTTCGTACTATATCGTTAAAAAATCTTGCACAGCAATATAAGCGTATAGTCAACGGAACTTACTGCAGAAAGGCCGGCAACTCTTATAACAGCACAAAAGGATACCAACAGACAAAGTTTTGGCCATGTCAGTATTCAACCTCGCTAAGGTAACAGGGACAAACAAGTTTAACAATAAATAAATACCAGTCATTTTGAAAAGAAATATTACACAAAAATCATGTGTTTTTCAGAATTAATGTTTGGTCGATATTTACAAGTTTGAAATTAAAAATTGAAATAAAATAAAGCAGACACAAATGCTGAGGTCGAACTCGAGATCATTACATTGCAAAGCATACACATTCCTAATGTGGTCTTCAGGAAAGATAAATTCTCTTCGCCTAAATGAGAGAAATTATTTTAACAAACAAACGTTGAAAACAGTTTATGCTTCCAATTCAATTCAATATTTTATTGCTAAGAGGAAAATAGCAAAGCAACAAACATATGAAGAAACTTAAAAAATTCGAACAACATATCAACTTACACAGAAGCCAGGTTAACTCTCCTCAGTTCTAAATGCTGTTTTATGAATAAGCAACAGTCACGTATACTTTGAAAAGCATCAATAAATTAAGTTTGTATTAAAGTATTTGTAATTATCATATATTTATTTTGTATATATCTAATTTTATGTTCACATTTACATTGTTATACTGTTAGAAAGATAGTTTCCAACTTTATCTACATGACATGGCATTTATTGTGATAACCGACAAAAGGTTTATTTTCAATGGGGTCCCTTACGACGGGATCGAGTAGTATACTTGAAAAATATTGTTTTAGAAAGGGAGGACATTTACAGTGTATAGTTTTGCATGGAGCATGTTAAAGGCAACGTCAAAACTATTAAAATGCGCCTACAGAAGCTATGGAAGATTTCTATTGGCGTCGATTACTATGTACTATATACTAAAATAGCATTGAATGGGTACAGAGCGGATACTAAATCTGGCTTTGAAAGACAGTTGATCCTTTCACCACTGTAGACTATAATGGAATTTCCTAGATCAATGCATGGTACAGTTTACTAAAATTACATAGGAAACTAGGGCTAAACTCCACCAGATATCTACCTGACAAAATGTCTAAGTATGATGTCAGGGCCAGAGGAAACTCGGACTCGACTCCACCAGACATCTATCTGTCAAAATGTCTAAGTCTGATGTCAGGGCCTTAGGAAACTCGGGCTAGACTCCATCAGACATCTATCTGTCAGTATGTCTAAATATGGTGTCAGGGCCAGAGGAAACTCGGGCTAGACTCTAGCAGACATCTATCTGTCAGTATGTCTAAATCTGGTGTCAGGGCCAGAGGAAACTCGTGTTAGACTCAAGTTTTTATTATTAATTTATAAACGGAACAAGAAATGTGGCTTGAACACAAAAACCATGCTTGAGCATAAGAACAGTTTCATGATTACGGTGCCTGGTGTCAGGGCCAGTGGAAACTCGTTTTTGACTCCGCCAGACATCTATCTGTCAGTATGCCTAAGTCTGATGTCAGGGCCAGAGGATACATGTGTTGGTCTCCGCCAGACATCTATCTGCCAGTTTGTCTAAGTCTCGGCCCGTATCATGAAACCGTTCTCGTGCTCAAGCATGGATTTTGTGCTCAAACTAACTTTCATGTAACTCACTTAAATCATGTCAAAAGATCAAAAAGTCAAATGTTAACATTGAAAACAGTATTTGACATTGAATTCTTAAAAGATTTCCCCAATCATTGGCAACTCAAGTTTTTATTATTAATTTATAAACGGAACAAGAAATGTGGCTTGAACACAAAAACCATGCTTGAGCATAAGAACAGTTTCACTAATACGGGGCCTGGTGTCAGGGCCAGTGGAAACTCGTTTTCGACTCCGCCAGACATCTGTCTGTCAGTATGCCTAATTCTGGTGTCAGTTAAGTATAAATTATCTTTCTTAGCCAAAAGTTTTTAATATGTAACATTATGTAGTCATTAATAAAATAAAAAGTATAAGAGTCCAAATCATCTACCAGGAGTCCAGGATTACCCGCGATAAGATTGTTAAAACAGACTGATTGTTTTCTGTTTTTTTGTTCTTGACCATACGATTAACCACCTCGACGGTTTTACCAGCCCCCCCCCCCCCCCCCCCCCCCCTCATTTTCTTTTGTATGTTGACAACATTGCTATGATGCCATCTTGTATTTTACTCTAGGTTTTCCGCCATCTTACATAAATGGATTGTAATATCTACTAGTATGTACATGTATATTGTAACTTCTATATGCTATCTGTTGCATTTGGAAATAAAGAAATTGAAATAAAAAAAAAACATGTTTATATTCAGAAGTAGATTGGTAGTCTTAATCAAACAATATAAATGTGCATTGTTTAAGATTTTGTTTTCAAATTACGTGAAGTAATAAATCTGAAACTTGTTCCTGAGAAATTTAGTGGCGCATGTGATTTTCAGAAACATGAAAATTCTAAATATTTTCAGAAATGATTGACAATAATATTTCTATATTCATGCACATTTAAAACACTCCTTGAATAAGATCTTCAAAGTGATGACTTACATGTATGTAATGAATCTGAGATAGTGTATAGTTGGCACAAGTTAACAACAAAGCTATTTGGAAAAGAGGAAGTGTTTTTAACAATAAAATAACATACACTTTACACATTCAGTGGCACGTATGGACAAAAAAACACCTGGTTCAATTCAAGATTTTCAATTCTCAGTTCGAAATTACAGATTGGTTAAAACTTTTGAATTTTATTCATGAAAAATACACTTAAGTCATAGTTGCATTTTTGTTTTGTTTAGTGCATGATGTGAATGAGCAAGTCTCCGTGTTATGACGTATTTTCGACATCTGAAGTAAAAACAAAAAACAAACAGATACACATATAAGTATCATTGAAAGAAATTAGTAGATCAGTTCTGATCACCGATGTTAAATCTCCATGCGTTTTGTGGTGAAATACCATCATGATGTTCCCAATGGTTTTTTTCTCCTCCTCAGTTCCCGGTGATGTGGTCTCGTTGGATACCGATCTGGTCTCTGTGTGTTGACACTTAAGTTTAACTGTTTAGACTATTCACTCAAGTATATCAAATCTAAACAATAGAGCGAGCCTTCAGATACGATGTTTTTTCTTCTTTTTATTTCGATGTGTGGTTTGCACCTAATGATGATCATCAAAGAGTTGTTTCCGCTACACTTTTTCTTATTCTCCTTGTTTTTCAACGACATCCATGCAATTCTTTCCTTTGTTAATATTTTGCCAAAGTTTTGTTTATTTATTTGGTTTAAATTGTGATTTTGTTGACACTTTGGTATTCTTTTGTTAATATTTTACTCGAATCAAGTTATCTAAACATGTTTGATGTATATAAGCAAACGAAATATATTGCGACAAAGATGTTTCCCTCTTACTCTTGTGAGTTCACTGCTAAAACATAAGCATTTTGAAAATCCCAATCCGTATTGTTATAAGTATAACAATGAAATCCTTCAGTATATTCCTATATTCTTTGACTTGGTAAATACTATTGTTGCTTTAATATTGGTCAGTGGGAATTTATATAAAAGTATTACAAACATTAGAATGTGTTTGTATTTGGTTAAACATGTAATTACCCCATTATTGAGATTGCGATACTGAACCCTCGATACAAGGACCGTAATCCTACCTTTTTGATTTTAAGTAGGCTAATGTATTATATACATTTCTATGACATATACAGTAAAACCAGATTTATTTAACTGCACAATAAACGAAACATCACTTTCTTTTTTGTTTAAACAAAAAAGTATTTTATATTTAAGACTGTCAACCGGCCACGTCGGACAATGCTTACACCATTTAAATAGCAAGAAATAGGAAAGGTCTGTAGTACATTTAAATTAGTTAACTAAAAAAAACGTTCAGTAGACTCGAAATATTTTTTAACGTTACGAGCGAATGTAATAAGTAGTCCTACTCATTTGTCTGTAGGGATATAGGTACGTTCCGACGACAAATGTCAATTCTATTGACATACTTGTCAATTCTATTGACATACTTTTTTGCGAAGTGTAACGGTCGAAAACATCTATAAAACTTAGATAAGAAGCGTTATTTAGTTGTGTGCGGCATTAGAGGGATTACGGTTGATGGCAATAGAGTAAGCTTTCAGGGTAAGTTGTGTTTATTGTTATTTTTAACTGATTGATTGATTAATTATCATGGTTGATGTCGCTTCGTTAAGTTTGTGTTCATGGTGAGTTATTGAGTCAACATATATTTCGATGATGAATTTGATACCCGGATATGACTTGTCCCATATTTTCTGATAAGTGAATTAAACATGCACAAATAAATTGAAAGATAAAACGTAACACACTCGCAGGTAATTACACCTTTGAAATGTAGTAATAGATACAGTGTGCCAAAAATAAACATGTTAGAACTCATCGTGGATGCTATAAGGGCTAAAATGCTGGAAATCCAAATTGGTCTTAACTGCTGTTAAAACAGAGGAGGCGCCAATTACGGACCTTACTTTTTTAATTAGAGTATAAAGTGTATTTTAAACGTAAATGATGCTTTAGAATATTCTATTATCCGTTAGGCTAGGGCACTATACCTCTCCAGACAACACTATAAGAGAACTGTTCCTGAGGGAAAGGGTCATAATGGATTTATTACATCACATGACTGCATTGCTGATCCTCTGCGAAGCAATCGGCATTCCCGGTCCCGAATCTCGAAGACATTTTAGCAGACGACAACAATGAAGTGAATGTATAATATGTACAGCGCCCCCTAGCAGAAGGGGCGCAACATTTAGCGTCACGCTACTTTTACCGCAGTCTCAGCGGTCCGAAAAAAGGGTATATTGCCCATCTCCAGGTTTAGTTCCCGTCGTCAAGGGCGGGCGCTAACTATACCAAAGGGTAGTTTTCCAATAGCTATCCTAGAAATTTTCATGTGATGTACTAATATTTGGTAGCACATGTAGATGAATGCAGTTTTTAACTGTTACTTATTGCGCAGACAGTCACGATCAATTATCTTAAATGTACATGATCCTTGAAATAAATAGCATGCATGCATTTACAAGAAGCATGCGTCTGAAACGTTTTGCATCAACATAACTTAATCAAATATAAAGACAATCTTCTAAATATCCTACATTTTTAAGTGATACATGAAATAATATATTTCAAGCGGTTATTATATATATCTCATATATATATGCTTAGTCTAATTTTTTTATTTGTTATTCAATTATGTAACGTTCATTTCAGTTTGATGTGTATGTAAAATTGAAAAGTTAATAATTCATCGCACCATAATCATGAATGTCACGGCCAACCTTGAATTGACAGATTTTTAATTATAAAAAATAAGAACAGTTCTTTAACACGAAAAAAGGCCCGCCCTAAAAACGTATTTGACATCATAACACCAGAATTATCCTGTTATAGTACATCACCTAACATCGTGATAATGACGTGTACTCGGCTGAACGATCCTAAAGAATTCCAAGGCCAATTTATTAGTTTCTAAAGACGCTCGGTTCTCAGTTTAGATATAAAGTAAGTGATTTCCTATGTTAACGTTACGGGCGATAGCATTACATACTTCCTGTTTAGGCTGTATAGAAGGAATGTCAACTTCTTAAATCAATTAACAACAAAGTGTATAGTATTTGTAACGGAGAATTTATACAATAGAGTGTCAAGCGAAATGCAAGGACGTACGATTACAAGGTACAATGTATAATTAATAATATAATTATGAAACCTTATTAGACGAATATCAGAAACAAAATGTTAACTCGTAGTATTACAAACAAGCTCTCGTTTATAATTATAACTTACAATAGTTATCTTATATTTGATTTGTGGATATCCTGAAATGAACGATTTTAGACAGAAAGTACGTTTCATTTAAAATATTATTTGTTGGAAAAAGGCAAGTGTTGTATGTTGCAGAACTAAGTTTAATGATAATAAAATATTAAAGTCGATATACTTATACCTTCAATTAAGAAATGATAAAAAACAGTTTTCTGAGTATGTACATACTTCAATAGATGTTTTAAAAACGTAAAATGTATACTTCATGTAAAAAGTATTTGTTTTGCGAAAAACAATTTTTGTCTTGATCTTTATCTTTTCGGAAGCGATAGCACTACAATAATGTTTTGTTTCACAAGAATTTGTTTAATCTGTCATTCTTGTACATAATACATTTTTGTTATCTTTCCGATTCAAAGGTAGGTTTTGATTTTGTCGGTGAAATGAAAGTTTTGTATAAAACATAAATTTAATAATAGAATACATGTTTACAATGTGTACCTTTTAAACATGTTCAATGGCGTGAAATTTTCTTATTAAACATAGCGTAATCCTGGTATACAAGTGATACGATTTGCCATTCGTTCGTTATCAAATTGACATTTGTTTGTTTCGCATATATCAAACTAATGTAAAACAGAGTGAGAAAATAATGGAACAATAATTTAAGTAACCGCTTGCGTTGATTATTTAAAAAAAAAAATGAATCCCGAGTTTGTGTTTGCTCTGTTATACAAAAATAGGGAGAAATCAAATATTGTTCTTGAAGTTAATCTTTTTTTCAAAGAAGTCGCAAATTTGTAGATTTGAAGACGAAATATATATATATAACAAGTATCTTGAATCATGGGTAAATGTTACCATTATTAAATGAACGGACGGCCAGTGCAACACTAGAGATTTTGCATGCATTTCATGATATTTGTGCTCAATACTACTACATAACAAATATGCAAAGTTTACTGGTTTAACGTAACGGGGCGATATGTGTGGCCGTGAGTCAATATGTATGTCCTCGTCCCGTTACGTCTACACTCTAGGGAAATAATGAACTACATGTACGAGCTAAATATAATTGTGAGAAGTTGAATGAATACTCTAGTTATGAACTGTATTGTTGCTGATATCTGTCATTCTTTCCAGCTTTAAGCAGCGATATGGATGTTGCTTACAACATTGACATTATACTTTATGGTAAGTCGTTAATATATTGCATTGTAACTGTACATAAATACCGCCACATTTTAGTGTAGTTTTCCATAATGATAGTCGGTGTAATTGTATGAAGAATTCTTATTGTTTTTTTCTGATTCTACTGTGATGGATTGAAAATAATTGCATTCCGTTGAACATCCTTTCATCTGTGTTCCTATCTTTATTTCCAGGTACCGATATGACTAGCCTATTACGCATCGAAATTAACTTTTACGGTGAGTCGTGTTTTTTATTCTTTATTATCATTATATTATAGTTATGTTTTACTAGTCGCTCAGATAAGGATATTTTATTTTTGTTTTGACTTTTTCAGGATATAATTATAAAATGATTTACTGTATAGTATGCATAAAATTGTTAGGTAAATACTAATTAACATTTCCGAGAAAGAAAAAAAACTTTCCTATTTTGTTGTTTGTTATATAAATTAATTTTCAACTAATCATAGTTGAAATTAAATTGTTATCCTAAAAGTACTAGATATCATCTCGTTACAGATGACGTCAGAGTCCACATTACTATAACGGATGGAACGACGACTTTTGCAATATTGTGTTTTATGGAAACAGGACGTTGTGTTATCGTTATTTTACAAATGCAGATACAACAAGGTGAGGGATTGATGTGATACATTAATCAACACTACTGTATTTATCTTAATCATGATAACACCATCATGATATAAAGTATATGAACTAGTTAATTTCGTTGTCAATAATATATTATTATTGTTTTATGATAAGTTTCCTTTTTAAAATCTGTATGTTTTAGTTGCCACAAAAAATAGATAGCGGTATATTGAGCACGTCGCCAAAGTAAACTATAGCATAATAGTTCATGGTTTTGTTATATTATACAGATACAAAAGTAGTCAAACAATTTTTATATATAGTTTAACACATGTATACTGAATCTGAATTTACCGCTAATCGATATATAAACGTTTGTGTCGGTGGTGACCTAAGATAGGTATGTGAGGTAAAAGGTTAACGTGTCGTGTCTCCGTGTGCTTAGCGGCGCATGTCTTGTTTTATGTCATACCTTATTGTGTATAATCTGTAGGCGTTACATGGTAATGTTAGAACAGCTGTTTTGCCAGGGTAGATCTACTCATCTTGTAATCTTGTAACACTATTTGTAACCTCAACGATATTTTCTATAAAAGTAATATATGTTTATCTACTGCGGGTTATCACTCACACTATATCTTTCTGACATAACACAGCTACATAAAGAGCTATACATATCGTATCGGTATATACACATACATGTATGTACCTACCCGGATGTTAAATGTAATATCCTTCACAACATTATCCTGGGAAATAGAGATATATCGTAACACGAACATCGTAAATCGAATTGTACTGAAACGTGTTCCAATCACCAAATATTTCGATAATTCAGTCTCTTACAACAGCTACACACACATCACTAGCGACCACAAAAACACACATATAGCCAACAGAGAGCTACATAACGTATCAGTATATACACATATGTATCTATCCGGATGTAAAAGAGGAAATATCCTTCACAGCATTATCCCGAGAAATACAGACATTTGGTGACACTTGCTCTCACAAATCAACCCAATTGTACCGGAATTGGTTCCAATCACTGAATAATACGATAACTTCATTCTCTTATAACAGCTGAAGACAAACAACTAGCACCAACAGTATCGTTACCACCCGGAACCTTTTACTCAAATTTAACATGGCGTCGAAGTTTGAGTTTTAGGTCACGTGATGTACCGATTGACAAAGTTATTACTGTTGGAATTATAGTTATCATAAAGTAATGGTATACCACTCAGCAACAGATATTCAAACAAGTTTTATTGAAAGAGGTATTAAAGTACGCAGTAAAGCCACCAATGAAGTCCAACTTACCTTGCCGGAACTACAGTAACCTCCCCTTAATTTCCTTTTAAAATAACTGTAGGGCGACTGAGTCAGAGTACTGCCGATGACAAGGTAGCATAGTTGGTAAGGGCTACTGAGTCAGAGTACTGCCGTTGACAAGGTAGCTTAGTTGGTAAGGGCTACTGAGTCAGAGTACTGCCGTTGACAAGGTAGCTTAGTTGGTTAGTGCGACAGAGTCAGAGTATTGCCGTTGACAAGGTAGCTTAGTTAGTTAGGGCGACTGAGTCAGAGTACTGCCGATGACAAGGTAGCTTAGTTAGTTAGGGCGACTGAGTCAGAGTACTTCAGTTGACAAGGTAGCTTAGTTAGTTAGGGCGACTGAGTCAGAGTACTGCCGATGACAAGGTAGCTTATTTGGTTATGGCGACTGAGTCAGAGTACTGCCGATGACAAGGTAGCTTAGTTGGTTATGGCGACTGAGTCAGAGTACTGCCGATGACAAGGTAGCTTAGTTGGTTATGGCGACTGAGTCATAGCACTGTCGTTGACAAGGTAGCTTAGTTCGTAAGAGTGAGAGTGTAATTATCGCAGCTTCATGGTTCGAATCACGGTCTTGCTCAATTTCATTTTTCACTCTCATTGTGTTTTACTGTTTCCTCCTTTTTTCTTTTTTTTTTATATATTTTTCATAAAAAAAGGTATAATGTATGTTTCCGTTTCATTGTTTTGATTGTTGCCCTCTTTTAGTTATTTCCATATTTTTCAAACAAAAAATCTACAATGTATGCCAAGAAAAAAAGTCAAATGTAAAGTTAAAGCTTTCGGCATTATTACTAACCACAATTGTCTTACCAGTTCTGTGCAGGAAATGTCGACGCTTTGGTTTTTATTTGTTGTGAACTTTTTCCCTTATGATTTACATTGGTACTATCGTTCTATGGTAAAAAATAACATCAAATTCGTTCTCATCCCATCTTAATTTTATTATAGTCAATTAAATTAATTTCATCATGAACATGATGTTTTATTAATCTTTGATTTGTTTTCAAGGTTTTCAAGCTGGTAATGACATCATCCGCCTGAGCAGAACAGTGATTCCTGAGTAACGAATGTTAAAACTGCAACCAACTAGAGCTGTCAGATGGTGTGTGGTCACACCAAGGAACCAGGAACATATTTGACCTCAAAAACACATTGTGATGTATATCTATACATTCAATTCGTTATTCATCATGTCTATTGGATATAGTTATAACAAAAATGTAGAAGTGATAAAGTCAGTTTCTGAAACAATATTTACATTTCTTCTAACTTTGACTCAGCATTACCCCTGAAACTCTCAAGTTGGTTTATGTAGAACAGCAAATAAGTGCGGGAAGAAGTCTGTGTTATAATTCTTTTAATTCGTTTTTTTTTATTTGATTCATTAACATGTCTATATGTGTTTTGTTCTTTTAACGATTCAAATACAAAACATTTCTTTGTCTTACAAGGAATACGTTGCACTGTGATTGGTAACGTCACATGCGTTGGCACATTCCGTGACATAGACTTGCACAAGTCCAATATTTTAGAAAATATCACAATAGTATCAAATTCACACCGAATGTGAATATAAGGATTGTATCCTGTTGTATTTGATTTGTGAGGATGTAAACCTCAATGGGTCTGAAGATAAATTTGTTTCAATCGCGTTATAAACTATATATCTCTAAGTTTTAATTCTGCAAGATTCCGGAAAAAAATGAATGTAACGTATGACTGCCTTTTCATGATTTTCGATTTACGTTTGATTTCAGTGTAGTTAATGTATGACAAAGGTGAAAGGCGAGGGAGGGAGAGGGAGAGAGGGAGATAGGGAGAGAGAGAGGAACAGAAACGCACACACACTCACAAGGACACACACACACAGAGATAGACAGCGCAGAGACACAGAGAGACAGAGACAGGCACACAGTAAGAGACAAAGAGAGTAGTTTGTATTTTGATGGAATATTTCAGATGTTTTTTTATCCTGCTTTGCTATAATATATACTAAAATATTAATGGACTATCCTGTTGCCTTATACTTTTGCTAGTTCATGTTCACAACTCTTAGTTATCTATTTTATATTGAATAAAAAATAACACATTAATTGATTTGTATTCATGTTACAATGTCTTTATTAAGTGTATCCAAATTAAGATAGTCCTTTTAAAGGCAATCTAAAGACAGATAATGTAATAATGTTTGTGTTAAATATTTACTGACACCGTGTAAAACACGGATTATCTGGTATACAACACCAATCACACTAGTACATAAAAATATAAAAACTACTTAATCTCGTTTGCTGTTTTTTATTTCAAGTTTTTATATTATATTAATATCTCAATGTTAGAATAACTTATTGTTTTACTACTTCCAACAGTCATGTTTTCATAAATCAGAGATATGTGTGTGTCACTACTCAACAGATACACACTATTCGCTTGATCTCTGTTCAACAACAAGGGCCGCGGTGGTCAAGTGGTAAAAGCTTCTGACATTCTGCTACCACAAACCTTTCACCATTGTGTCGCGGGTTCGAGACCTTCGTTGGGCAGTCGCCAGTTACTGGCCGTCGGTCGGTGGTTTTTCTCCAGAACTCCGGCTTTTCTCCACCACCATCAAATCCTGGCACGTCCTTAGATGACCATAGCTGTTTATAGGACGTAAACACAAACAACCCAAAACAAACAAAAGTTCAACAATAAACAAAATATAAAAAGGTTAAAGTATGTATTGGTATTTAATAATCAAAAAATGAACAGCGACGATGAATAGGTTTGCTATACATGTAATATAATATATATAAGAACATATCACGTGTATTTAGAGTACATAGTTATTAGATGCCGACGTAAAGCTGCATTATTATTCGACAGTTAAAACATTGTAATATATATCATCTGCATCAACGTGATTTTAAGCTATCTTGGGTATTTATAGCCAGGACACTATAGCTATAGATCTAAAATTCTGTCTAGTTTAGCTTGTAAACGCATGTTGTGATATAACTATGTATTTGTGACTGTAGTATATTGAAATGCCTGATTTAAGGTTTGATACAATTGTTGTTTTATTTTCTCGTTTCTTAATTGTTAGCTAGTACTCTGATAATTAACCAAAATGTAAATATGAAAGTCTATATCTAGAAACAAATAGCTTAAAATAGCACACTTGCCTACTCACAGCATGTGTTACATCATGTGTCGACTGCTAAATTACACTGGTGGGGTTGTTAACTTTCTGCGTGAAAATATATAAAGACACTGCACACGTAATATCTAGCTCTTTTTGATATAATCATTGATTCCTGCGATTGAGTTGTTTTGATGTAGGGTTATAATACATGATTTAGATCTACTGTATGTATTTTAAGTGTATCTTGTCCTAGCGTTACTGGAAACGGGTTTAGTTTTGGAGAACGCACTCGCCTGGGTTTTCTCCGGGTACTCCGGTCTCCTCCAACAATAGGACCCGCGCGCGCTAATATCCGGTCCAACAAGAATGATTAATATAAGTTGAATTAATTTCTTTCATTATCGTTGTAAAATAAATATTTTTGGATATTTAGAATCGAGTCATATGTGACTTTATAGCTAGTCGCCTGTGGTCACAGTAGCTTCAAAGGATTTATTATATCAATTTACAAGTATCTTTGTACAAAATCGTATACTTTTTGGTAGTTGAAGTAAATAGTTGTAGTATTATACTGTCCGGGATCACCGAAGGTCTGGTTGTTGTAAATATTTGTTTTCCGGATGTTAGAGCGCAGGATATTCTACCCGTGGGAAACCAGAAATCTCGTAGAAAAGCCTCGTTATCGGGCGGATTACCTCGTCATATCATAAAAAATATAAGCAGTTGAAATAGGCTAATATAGTATTATGATACTCGGTATGGTATTGTACGTTACATGTCCCATTATCGACAACAAGATCTCTTATTTTTGTTAAAGTTTATCATTCTAACATTTGTATCCTTATGAACAAAACATGCCGTGGAAATAGTTTTACCAATAACTGACATAGATTACAACATTGTGTTATATTATTAACCTCCTATGGCTAATGGCTTACGCACCAGTCATCTCACAACGTTACGGGCGAACGTAACGCTCACATACTTTACAGGTAAAGGCGCTCACTGATTAAGCGTAACCTATTATAACGGGGATATTTTGTATTTAGATGCAGATTACCGACCATGTTTAATTCAGTTAGGACTTAGACGGATAATGGTTGACTCCATCGAAGTAAGACTTAAAAGTAAGTTATGTATGTTCTTTATTACCTATTGCAAATACATTATTTTTAAACACATTTTTAAGCCAATATAAAAAGAACGATGGATTTGAAACCTAAATATGACGTCTTATTTCTAATAAATACCAGTTTTTATAGTGTGTATCTTAAGCCTACATATAAATTGGAATCTTCCATAAACTATATATTATTATAAATATTTTTTTTTAACGCGGATGTAGATTAGCCTAGTTAGTATCGGGAAAATATTGCTTAAATATTTCCTTATACCATATTTTAGATGTACATGGTTTCGAAAACAATATAGAACATGCATTGATATGTTACAGCTGTATTTGTATCTTAAACGTACTGCATCGGCATGTCCTAATACAAAAATTGGAAATGAGCAACTTGGATACAAGAATTAGTATATCTTATATCCATACTATCGATAATGAGTGGTAAATTAGTCCCTTAACGGCACCTCGTATCATAAGTAATATTGTGTACATATAATAGATTGATTAACATTTCGATATTTCTTTTTTCAAAACTAAATTTCAATGAAATACGCGTGAGTAATATTTGCATACTTGTTTTGTTTAAGTATGTGATTTCATAAGTTATGTCCTGATGTTTCGATGTAAGTTCGATACACCTAAAATTATAGTATAACTAAGCTGATGAGTTTGTCATCTTTACGTTTCCCTTGTTTGCCTCCCCTTCAGTTACAGGTGTTTTGTAGTGAGGCGGCGTTATAATGTTCCAAATGTTTCGCGTTCTACTCAGCTCCCGGTGTGGATTTTGTGGTTAAGTGTCATCATTACGTTCCTTTTGTTTTCGTCCGCTCCTGGATTCCTGGTGTTGTGGTCCCGTTGATCACCGATCTGGTCTCTGCTTTGTTTTTATTATTTTGATGTATTGCAGGCACCTAATGATAATGATAAAATACTTGTTTTCAATCGTCTCAAATGTCTTTATAAGTCTTTCTGTAAAAGCAAACGAAAGATATCCCAACAAAAATGTTCCCTCTAAATCCTTTGAATTCACCGTAAAAAAACATGAACGTATTGAAAATCGTAACCTCTCATGGAATGAACATATCACCAAGACACTCTTTTACACGAAACATGAGGTATGTAATTTTACATCCGTTAACGTGGTCAATACTATATATGCTTTAAATATTTTCAATTAGAATATTATATATAAGTCGTACAATGTGTTTTTATTCTGTCCCGTATGTAGTTCTCACACTGTAACGGGAAAAAAACCACCTCTGACAAATTGATATGTTTCCATATCAGTGCCAATATCTTTTACAAAATTTCGAACTAAAATGTCGACATTATGTATATTACTTTCATGCGAGCCGCTTTCTAACAGGAACCAAACGAAATCGCTTCAGTTTTTCTTAAGTAGTGTGTTAGTATCTTGGCAACCAGCATCGTCTCTGAGTTTGAAAGTTTTGAATTTAAAATTGTTATTCACAGTATTAATTTGCAGTGATTACCAAGAACAGGTATGCTCATATCATTAACATAACGAAGAAAATGGGCCTAGTATACTTCTTTGCAGTAAGGTTCGTTCATTGTTTTTGTATTGTGTGACGGTCGAAAACATTCTATAAAAACCTAGAGTGTAACGAGTTGTTTGTATTTGTTATGAGTTATATGATCTCAGTATAAAGTCGTCACAGTGATAACTCGTAAAACTCGTCTGAGTGTGTTAACGTGGCACATTTTTCATTTGATTTTAATAATACAAAATATAAAATTATATAACATACATAACCGCTTATTATCATTGTTATTTTGTTGAACAATTGAGGAGAGCAGAATTCATTGTATAAAAAGCCACAGTGAAATTGCCATGCATTATATATAGCCGTTTGATATAAATTAACTTATGATTACAGAACTGTGATATTACCAACAATGGATCAGCAAAAGTAGTCACAAGTCATGTTATGATTACCCAACTGTTGTTTATATAACAAAACTAACAGTAGAAGAAAATGAGAAAAATCCAATCGTCAAA